ATCATTCAGTGAGATTCAGGACTGAGTGGGGATTTAACCCGGGGTTTCTCAAGTCCTTGTCCAATAAAAACCTTGGTTTAATTCCCCATCTTAGTTTAAGTAGCAGGATGGTCCAGCTCAACTTTCAGCTTCCAGGAACTATGTATGCTTTTCATACAGGTTAGAACCAAAGCCCAAATAAGATGATTTGGATCTTATTCCAAACACACACATGGTCTGTGTGCCAGTCTATATTTTATATGTTCCCAGTAAGATGTTACTAGTAAGTGGTGGGAAAGGGATCCAGGCAATAGGCATTTGGAATTCCTCCAGGCAGCCACAAATGGGGACTACAAAAGCCAGCTTTTCCCAAGCTGTTATTTGTGCTTTACCACAAGCTTACCTAGAATCTCATCAGCAACATTGTTAAGATGTTGCTATTTTCCTTTTCTATATGAACAGCTGGTTCTGGTTCTAATTCTCTACTGGGACTTTATTTATGCCTGCATTCAACAGATAGGAAAACACTTCTGCTAACATTTCATGCAAAGCCAAGCCAAAACAGGTCTCCTAAATTTTTGGCCTGTCCCTGCAGACAGTAATCACCTCACAGCATGAGGCTGGCGCTTTGGGAGTGGGACTTTGTTGGCAAGGTGGACTGCAGGAAAAGAAAGCAATTAGTGACCTTCCTGTGCTCTCGCTCTCTCCTGCTTTATGCTTAAGATAATATTCATCCCAGTCAGGACCCCTGGCAGTGAAAGTGGACAGAAGCATAAATCAGTTACATGAGTTGTAGACTCAAGATCTTCCTTGAAATTCTGTCATGAGGAGGGAGGCTTTACTTCATGGACCATGGGCCAACTGATCATGCTGGGGGGCGGGGGGTTTCCCAAAGTTTCCTCCAGAAAGGAATGGCAAGCGTCTTAGATGGTGGGCAGTTGCCTTCCTCCAAAGTCTGCTCTGTCTCACTTGCTGGAGCCATCTGGATGGTTTTTCTACATACTTTTTGATTGACGCAGTAGTTCCCTCTGGACACTCAGTAACTCTCTATTTTCTGTTTCATAAGCAGCATGCTTGACAATTATGTGTGTTAATGGAGGGTTAATGGAGGATACTGTCATGAGATAAATAAAATGAGAAGATGATGATTTTATAGTCTGAAAACCCATGATTTATTTACATTAATTAATTACAATGGCATCCCAGTCTTTCTCCAAAAACCTAGGCGAGCATAGGTGGAATTGCCCTCTTTTCATCCTGATAGCAGTTTCAGAGGTGAGCTAGACTGAGTGAGTAGCTGGCCAAAGCTTGTGAAGGTTTTTCCATGAAAGAACTGGGTTTTCCTCACTTCACTTCAATGCTCTCCTCTCCTATAGAACACTGCTATATTCTGTGCTCTAATTCAACATGAAAGAGTTGTGGCTAACTTCCTCATTTAGATCTAGAGATTTCTGGTTGACATTATCTTGGGGAAGGCTTGAACTACCTTAACGATTAAAAGTGCAGGAAGAATGACAACAAAATCATCTCTGATTATTAGGATCGCCAGATTCCAGTTGGGAAACTCCTGGAGATTTAGGGATGGAGCCTGGGGAGGACAGGGACCTCAGGGGGGTACAATCCCATAGAGTCCACCTTTCAAAGCATCCATTTTCTTCAGGGGAAACTGATCTCTGCAATCTGCAGATAAGCTGTAATTCTGGGGGGTCCCCAGGTCCCACCTGGAGGCTGGCATCCTTACTAATTATTACCCGGACTTTGGGGACAGCAGAATATTTAGTATTATATATTAATTTTCATTGAGATTGCATTTATCCTTCATTCTAATTTTTCTTTATTTTTACATATTTACATACAGATACTGAGCTGGTGTCCCTTCTGCTGAATGTGAGGAAGAATCTCTCTGATGGAAGAAGGTCTCCAATGGAAGGAGTCTTCCTCCAAAAGAAGATTCCTCATGTAGCATAAGGGAATCCCAGGACCCAGCATTTTTTTTGAGGGAAGGTGTGTGAATAAAAGCCTTGATCCCGAAAAGTGGCTCTACATGATTTTGAGAGAAAGTGGGAGAGAAGCAGAATCTCCAGGCTGCCAACTTCAGGATGGGAAATTCCTGGAGATTTGGAGGCAGAGCCTGGGGAGGGCAGAGCCTGGGGAGGGAGCTTAGCAGGGATGCTCTAGAGTCCCCACTCTCTGCATCTGCTGTTTCCTCAAGTGTACTCTGGAGATCTGTTGCAGCTCTTGGAGAACTCCAGGCCTGACCTGAATGTTGGCAACCGTACATCTGAGCCCAGTTAGAAATCCAGGGAAGCTGGGGAGGAGTAGGATTCTCACCATATGGCAAAACATTACAAGCAACTTTCCAAGTAGTTACATGCACACTCTGATGTGTTGGTACTGAGTGAATAGTAAAGGTAAAAGGTAAAGGTTTCCCTTGCTCGAAAGCCAGTCGAATCCGACTCTAGGGTTGCGGTGCTCATCTCTGTTTCAAAGCCAAAGAGCCAGCGCTGTCCGAAGACATTTCCGTGGTCCTGTGGTCGGCATGACTAAACGCCAAGGCACACGGAACGCTAATGTGAATAGTGAATAGTTCCTATCAATCTATCATAAGGATATATTCCACCGACTGACTGTAATACTTAATCATCTGATGAAGTGAGCTCCGGGCTATGTTGCCAACCTCCAGTTGGGATATGAAAATCTCCTGGAATAACACCCCATCTCCAAACTATAGAGAGCCTTTACTGTGGGCACTGATTTAATTCCCTGGTTCTTCAGCTTTCTTGTGTATTCCATTTTTCTTCATGTTCAATAAGATGCTCTCCCTCTGCATTTCCTTGCTGCTGAAAGGCTGATGAGTTGGCCTGTGAAAACAGTGTGTATTAACCAAAGCAGCCCTTCCTCACTTGCAAAGGATGTAGAAAGCAATGTTTATTAGCCATTCTGCCAACCCTAGATGACCTTGACTTCTCACCAGAGTTTAAACCAAATATTTTAAAAGGGAAAAAATAACGGGCTCTTGTCTGTATTCACAGAGTTTCCCTCAGGCTGCAAGCTATCTCTGTGACCAATACAAATGATAGCACATGGTGAAGCAGACAGTGAAATATTGCCCAGGCTTATTGCTTTTTCATTATTATTATTAAAGGGAGGGTCTTAATTCCAGTCTAGGAGCTTGAAACACTTGAATGCTGCCCAAATCTCTCCATTTTCCAGCCAGAAACGCAACTAATGCTATGTGGCAAAAGCCATTCTCCAGCCTAAAAAAATCTATTGCTTTCTGTCTGGAGTTAAAAGAAAGGATGGACTTGGATGGATATGGAAAATTCCACACTTGACTCCACTGTCTGTGTTACTTTAAGATCAGCCACAATGCCTTCAGGGCCCTGTTAAGGGAGCACAGAAGATACCGATAACAGGCAAGACAGTGCAGATTTATTTATCAAAAGCAGAAAATGAGCCAGATTAGTTGTGGGGTGCCAAACAGCATGAAATGGAAAGCTCCTGTTTCAGATCCCACCTCAGCTGTGTCACAAGGAAGACACAGGCAAGCTGTTTTTCTTTTTTGCCTCATACTTCTTATGTACAATATGGAAATAATAATAGTAATACTGCCCTACTCTTCGTAAGTATCGTGAGCTACAATGGATGTGCACTGAACAATTCACTTGTACTACATAAATGCTATTCTTGTTATTAACAATGAAGCACAACAAAAGTCCAGTGGCATCTTATAGATTAAGAACACTTGTTTCAATATTAGCTTTTGTGAGATAGTTCTTCAGATATGTATGGAAAGCAAACTGAGAATCCTTCTTATGAGGCAGGTTACGAGCAGGGAGAGTTAAGGCAGAGGGTTAATTCTGTTATGCATCTTTCAAGCATAGATTCATTATTTGGTGAAAATGTGGTAGAGAGGTGTGAATCCCATTATAAAAGTTCAGAGTATGATCTCTCTATATCTCTCAGACAGAATCAGCAGTTACAAATAATGGGATATTAGAAAGCTTAGAGATTTGAACAGATAAGCAAGGTGATAAGTTTCAGAGAAAATTAACTGATACTGATACAAAATTACAGTCTGTTAAACATGCTAAGAGCAGCCAATCAAAATTTCTACAAAGTTCCTAATAGTGTGTTAAGGAAGATGAAAGTGTTCTCCCACTGGTTTCTGTATGTTGTGGTTTCTTATGTTCAATTTGTGTTCACTGATTATTTCAAGCAGAGACTGACACATCTGTCAAATGTAAACAGTAGATGGGCATTGCTGGCACATGGTGGCATATATTAAATAGGATCATGTGCAAACTGATGAGCTACAGATAGTGTAGCTGATATTGTTAGCTCCTACAACAGTATTACCCAAGAGTATATGGTTAACAAAGTTGGCTTCTAGGTTTGTTGCAGGGCTTGGTTCCTGGGTCTGCTGTTTCTCTGTTGGGTGGGTGATGATTATTGGTGAGAAGCCATTTTAAGTTGCCTGTAAGCAAGGAAAGAACACTGTGATGGCTACTAATATACACTTACAGAGTTTCACAATGACTGAAAGCGTCTGCAAGGAATCTTAGCCTGACGAGGATCCAGATATAAGCCCGTTTTGTGGTGAATCTTCCTCACAAATTGTTCTTAGTTGGCCCTCCTCTGGAGAAATGTCCTCTTGTTTTTAATTTTGTGTTCATAAAGGGAGCAAGCCAGTCATTTAAAATTATGTTGATATGGTGCAAAGCTTACTGATTCTAACAATGCTGACAAATATTCAGAGAGTACCATATCAACGAAGCATAAGAGAAGAGTAGCTTGTCTATGCTTTCTTTGTGAGATTGTGGCTGAGGTAGGATCTGACATGGATTTTCCGATTCACAGGTATCTACTTTTCTGGTATCTGTATGGACTGGTTTGCACATACATCACCCTTCCTTTGCCCAGCACTTGACTATTGTCTTTCCATTCTATTCATCTATTATCTTGAATACATGGTTGATGGTGTTCTCTTGTTCTTAAAAGTATTCTTGCCATCCCTACAGGTACATTGGGGCTCTGGGAGCAAGGGTAATCTGCGATAACATCCCTGGACTGGTAAACAAACAGCGACAGTTGTGCCAAAGTTACCCAGACATTATGCAGTCAGTTGGGGAAGGAGCAAAGGAATGGATTCGGGAATGCCAGCACCAATTCCGTCACCACCGCTGGAACTGCAGCACTTTGGACAGAGACCATACAGTCTTTGGCAGAGTCATGCTCCGAAGTAGGTACCCTTCAGCAGCAATTCTTTTCTACCCCTCCTCAGCGGGGGGGGGGCAGTTTTTGATCAGCAATTTTTATTAGTCTTGTAAAAAAAATCTATTTACATTTATCTAGAATCTACCAGTATTATTAGGGTTAAAAGATCCCAGCTAATCTTTCAGTGTAATGAGATGTTCACCATCTACGATTATGGATATTGATTTGTTATTTATTTTTATGTATCCTTGAATGCTGTAGATTAAGGCCATTCAAAGATGCCAATTGACATATCTTTCCTTCTCATTTAAAGGAAAGGTAGCTTTATTCAAGTAGCAAGTGGCCAGTGTGATGCTCTTGACCTTCCCAACCAAGGCTAAAATGGCTGCTGCCACATTTTCTTAGCCATTTGACAGCAGAACTGCAATGCACTTCTTGAAAACTGGCTTTCATAGGTGGGGTAAGAGCTTCAAAAGTTTTGGACATCCCCAGCACTTATGCTGAAGTTTCAGGAAAAATAGACCTTAATTTATTATTACTGACCTTATGCAGCCTGCTATGAATGTATAATGTGTATCTTATAATGACACTCCATTACACTTGAATTTGTTGTGAACCATCTGAAGGACCTTTGGTCAGAAAGACAGGTTATAAGCATTGTAAGTAAATAAAGATGAAGTTGGCACTCAGTGACAATCTTATGAGCTGCATGCACAGTTACCCCAAAGCAGCCAGGGAGGTGCCCCAAACAGAAGCAGCATTCCATATACATAAAAAAGGGTGCACATCCTGATTTATACCTGGGAAGGCAGATCTCTATTTAAAGAAGCAGGTCTGCCTCTGTGGCATCTAGTGTGGAGCTGCTCCATCCTTTAGAAAGCATGAGGTTCTTGCACATGTGATGAGAGCTATTAAATGGGAAAAGAGCAGAGCTTAAATTTCCCTGTGTTGTGTTTTGGTTTCCCTTATATGCTAAGCAAACAGTAATGGGATATGTCACTGCACTGGAAGTAGCCACTTCAGGATGGGAGAGAACACCTCTGGGAGCATGATCTTGAAAGTAAACGGTAACAGGATATATAAATATTTGGCTAGTAGAGCTGGCGGGGAGGGCAAAGTTTGTTGTCACCATGTGTAGTGCAAAAGGCCAAGCCACAATTTTGACCTCCCTTGTAAACAGGGACTGTATAGAAAGTGTCCCCAGGACAGCCCCACCATTTCCCTGAGTCTTGTACAGGCTGTACAGAGGAAACATTCCGAGCTGTCCCCACCATGGCATTTGCTCATTTTAAAACCACACAGACTTTAAGATGGTGTATTTAATATTAGGAAAATGAGGCTTAAATATTAGAGTGGTTTTGGCATGATCCTGTTCCTATTTTTGCAGAAGATTTTGCATCGTCTGCCTGTTTGACAGAAGTGCACCTATGTTTCCTGCAGCTCGGCTTTTATTTAGGAAAATAATGCAGCTTCAGGATCATTAGCAACTCACAACATCTATTGTTCTTTAAGTATAATGGTTGGCATTAGTTATCCAAAAGAGGAGGTGTTCAATTGCTAGAGAGGAAATTGAGAATGAGAGTTTTTTTCCTACCAGTTTTCACCACTGTGGTAATGCGAGGCATTATGGGATTTCTTGTCAGCCATGCACACTTACAGTGTCATGGCCAAGGGACTTTGTTAATGAATTCCATAACCTTTTAGCAGAAGGGATGTGTATATATACATTAATAGGTATCACTGCTGCTTTGCGTATTCTGAAGCTTGGCCTCCAATTAGACAACAATGGATACAAGGCAGGGGGTATTCTTAACTGACAGGCTATGGGGATTTAGAGGCCTTAGCCCTAGCACTGGAAAAGGAGAGAGAGGGGGCCAAGTTTACCTTGTGTCCTTCTGGTGGAAAAAAGGCCTATCTTTTTTCTCCCAAGTCTCTACCTAAGGATGCTAAAATGCACAATTCACTTTGAAGCTGCTGTTCTAAGGCTACAGCTGAGGAACGCAACAGTGTGGTTTTGATTTGCAGCTGTTTTTATGACTATTATAAAAACAGATGCAAACTCAAAGCAGAACTATAAAATACCAGGCAGCATCCTGCGCCATGTGTGGAGATGCCAGGCAATTTACAGCTTTTGGAAGAATCCATACTGTATGCATTTGTCCAAAAAGACAAGCGCCACCCAAATAGGATGGGGGCAGGGTAAGGTATTGTTCACACACAGGAGATATAAGAAAAGAGCGTGTGGAACTAAAAAAGAGTGGGGGGGGACTTTTACAGCTGTACTGAAACATATAAATGAGCAAGAAATCTGCAAAATGCCCCTAAATCTCAGAAATTTGGGACATTCTGGAAATAGAGGCAGATAGAGGATCATCCAGGCTGGCCTCCTAGGGAGATCAAAATTACTTATTCCTTCTTATAAGAAAAAAATGAATTTGAAAAGTTGTCCATTCTTTCACCAGGTGTTCTCTTATTATGACCTCACATCCTTGATTTAAAAACCTCTTTCCTAAGATAGTTCACCTCCAATAATTCTTTTTCCCCTGGCATGATGTTATCGAACCTTTGCTGTTGCTTGTCTTCTGACACTCCCTTGTCTTGCCTGACCCTAATCCTTGTTTGGAACCAAAAACATAATGTAGGGATTTGCTCTGAACACCTTGCTTTAGCTACTAGAGCATGGATTCTTGGCTCATCAAGCTGAGTGATTCTTTTCAGGATCATTAACACTTTAGCAAGCCACAAAGATGGACATCACCATTGAAGCGGTTTCTGTTATATTTCTTAACATACTTTCATTGTTATCTCCACTAAGGGTGGGACACCAGTCAATCGGCTAGTAAGCCTGATTGTTTACTTCTCTTAAATATTGTCAAACATTCCATGAAGCCATCCTTGGGCAGTGGTCACTGTACCATTCTACTTGCAGTGTGCCAATGGTGCTGTCAGAGATGGACTTTGGGGCTGAAGACCAGGGCCCCAGGTTCAGTGAAGGAGACTTAAAAGCAGGCTGTACTGCAGCCTCACATTTGAAATTTATATTACCATCTGTGCCAGGGTTATACATCATGCAACCTGGGGGAGCCATGTGGCAGGCCCACAGCCTCTCTCATGAGGATAGGGGTAGAAAGCACCAGCAAGCTGAGGTTTAAAAAAAAAAAAACAACCCCGATATCTTGTGCATCCCTGTTCTGGAATGTGGCAACAAGTTTCAACTCCATGTTGGGAAGTTACTGGAGATCACGGGATACAGCCTGAAGAGGGTGGAATTTGGGGAGGACGGTATAATACCCACCCTCCAAAGTTGCTGTTGACTCCAGAGGAATTGATCCCTGCAGTCTGGATATGAGTTGTCATTCCAGGAGATCTCCAGGCCACACCTGAAAGTTGGCAACCCTGCTCTTAGCCCAGCTCACCATTTGCAAATGCATAGAATGCCAAGAGCATGGATTGCCAAAAGCCCGTTTGGTGTAGTGGTTAAGAATATGGATGCTAATCTGGGAGAACCGGGTTTGATTCTCCACTCCTCCACATGCAGCTCCTGGTGTGACCTTGGGTCAGTTTTAAGTTCTTTCAGAGCTCTCTCACCCCCATCTACCTCACGGGGGGGGGAATGGAAAGGAGTTTGTAAGCCGCTCTGAGACTCCTTTGGGTAGTGAAGGGTGGGGTATAAATCTCCTCCTCGAAAAATTTCACTGGGTTTTTTTTTGTCAGAATGCCATCTTTCAACCCACAGAGCAGTTGGGAGGCAGCACTTCTGAGCCTCCCAAAAATGGGCCACAATGGAGCCATGTGATGGGGTGGCCCACATACCTCTAATCCAGACCCATGCAATGGTTTGAGCTGTGCATCCCTAATCTAAAGACATCCCCCATAAAACCATTAAATCAAAAGTCTAAAGTCACCCAGCTGGACTACTGCATCATTCAGTAAATGTAGGAATGAAGAATCCCTGCTGTTCAGCCGTGCAGGAGTCATTCCCCATCCTTCTTGCCCCACAACCATCCTATTAGGAACCAAACATCCCATCTCCAGGAATCTTCTACAGTCCCCCTTTCTCTGTCCTTCTTGGTCACCCCTGTACTGTTTTAAGCCACTTAGAGCTACAGGAGTTGTCTTGTGCAATGTGAAAAAACCAAACCAGATGAGTAAAAAAGAGTCTCCTCCTGTCCATGTGTGGTAACTTTTCATGGGCAAACATATGGTCCAGAAAGCAAAAAGCAACTGGCTATACCCACTATAAGCATAATGGCACTTCTTGCATGTGCCAAGGAATCAGGACTATTTACTATAACTGCATTTTAGAACTTACTTTTGTTTTTCATGGCTGCTACAAGTATTTTTGTGTTTCATGGCATTCTAAAAAAAATAAGCCATATGTACTTGATCAGTACACCAAGTAGTTTTGTTTGCTTGTTTGTTTGTGATTATCAAGTAATGTACTTTCGTCTCTTTACAGCATGCCATTTCAAAATGTTATGTGTAGGACCATAGCTATAAGCATGTAGTATTACTTCCACACATGACCTTACTGTGTATATGTGTTTTTAAAATTGTATGAGATGCGTGTGCTCTTTGCAAATTGCTAAATATGTCAAGGTATGCAACAGTAAAAGGGGAAAAAAGAGAATCTGGGGCTAGTCAACATTGCTAAATATATATGCACAAACATCAGATTAAAAATAAGGTCATAAATCAGATTAGGATGCAGGAAGAGGAACAACCCACCACTTTCACAGGTTACTGAAAGTTAATCCAAATGGTTTCTGCAACCGCAAAGGAATGGCAGTGAGAGCTGGAGTCATTTTATGAGATTTCCTATAGAAACTCTTAAGAGATTGGGCACCTTGGGGATACCATTAGATCCACCTCGGCAGATGGTTGCCTGAGCGTTGTCTATGGCATAATTTCAGAAGAAGCACCACACTTGCAAGCTGAATCTGTCTGTAGCATTTAGTTCCCTGATGTTCCATATGATAGAAGTCAAGCCAGGGGTCCCTCGACCTGCCTTATGTCACACG